GTTAATGGGACTGTGGTAGAGAACATTCCTAACACCACAGATAGGAGCTGACACAGGCGTGCTGGAAGTCAAGATGTGATTACACTAAGAACCATGCTCTCTCAGACATCTGTGTCCATGCCTATAACAGGCTATGTGGTGAGAATGCAAGTGAGGAGAATTTGAAGATCTGGAGACAGTTTTTAGACCCAGAACTCTCATTAGGAAATGAGCAAGTGCATTAGAAATAAACTAGCATCACTGCAGCATAAGCCCACTTCCTTCCTCAGTAACTGACATGCCAGTTCTGTGGACCAGGTTCTTTTCTGCAGGGTGCCCTGGTCTACCTTCCTGAGCTAATCCACAGCTCTCTGATACCCTGCCTCCAAGTATCCACTGGAAGCCCTGCCCAAACCATCCAGCATCACTGTAGGGCTATAAAGAAACATTTTACTAAGTTAGAGGAGGCATGGGTGAGGCACCACAGTAATGAAAGCTTTAAATATAAACCAGTGTTTTCTTTAGTGAAACATCACTAGAAAATTGTTCAGTTTCATTTCTTTCTCTGAGTTGGAAGTTCTAGAGATCACTGAAAATAGGAACAGTTAATGCTCAGGAAGGTAGCACAGCTTGTGACTCTTTAGGTAGTTTTTTGACACATTAAAGTAACAAATAAAATGGACTTTTTTTCTTTTTTTTTTTAAATGAAAGGGATGCATAAAATGGCAAATTCATAAAGACCTTTAGATTTTGGATTTCTGGCAGGATTGTTCTTTCCTGTCTAATGTCAAGAATTCAGAGGCCCCAGATCTCTATGAAGCTTATCCTAACATCATTCATAGTGGTTGAGTAAAAAAATAATACACTACCCTCTTCATAAGGCACAATTTCTGAAATTCCAAACCCATGAGTCTTGGCAGGGTTAGAACATAGTATCTGAGGGTGGGTGGATATCTTATTACACTCTATAAAAATTATTATGTAGATTCTTAGCTTTCTTCAGAACAATTTGTTCACCTCAATTTCTGGGCCTCTAATAGAGTTTGAAGCTCAATATCCTAGTAGGTAGATAATTTACATAGAAGCTAGTTTATCATACAAACTAAATATCTCCCAAATATATCTATTTTTCAGGTAGATATTGACCTTGTTCTTGTATGCTGTTGAGTTGATTGTGACTCATAGTGACCCTATGTAGGGGTTCTGACAGCAGCTGGTGAGTCTGAACCGCCAACCTTGAGATTACCAGTCCTGTGGTAACCACAGCGCTACACCAATATTACCCTAAACACTAATATTTAGATCATAATGTATAAAAACTGTAAAGGAGAGTGAAGCGTAAGATTGTTACGTGTGTGTAGGTGTGGAGATGTGTCTGTGTACATAAGCACTCATACCCAACTGTCTATTTGATTTCGGGCTCACACTAGAATTTTTAGGACACCATCAATAATATTTTAGAGGCATCGTCCTGGTGTGACGCTGTGGGTTAATGATCCAGACTGCAAAGTCTGTTTGAAACACAAGGTCAGCAATTCAAGATCACTAGCCACTCATCAGAAACACTACACTACATGGGGTTGTTGTGGGTCAGAAATGACTCGACGGCACGTAACAACCACAACAAAAGTCATATTTAATTAGTGAAACAAAACCAAACTTTTCCTAATGAGCACAAAATAAAATGATTAAATGGAAAAGATTAACAGTTCATAGATTAACAGCCAAGAATACTGGCAAAGTTGGGTGATAAGAGAGAACGACAATGAGAAAATTATTCTATTTCAATGACAGGAACAAAAAAATCTATGAACAAATGCTATACTAAAATTTCATTATTTAGGATGCCATCAAGATTTCTTTTTATGTTATTCTAGGTTCACATTGGCTTTTGCTTGTTTCGTACCTTCCTCAGAATGAAAATTAGACAATAAATTTTGGGGGGGTGGGGAGCTATCTCTTCAGTTGATTTTTGTAAACAATGACTTTCTGAAATCTGAAATTTCCTGGCTCGAGATAAAGAGCACCGACAGCAAAAAGGTGTGGTATTGTTAAGTACAAAGGTTAATCCGTTTGAAATTTGCCTCCAACAAGCCGAACCACTGGAGTCTTCACAAGCCAAGTTTCGCTCTCTCTTGAATGTTAAACTCATCACACATTATTTTCCATCCAAATATAGCTTAGGTATTTTCCTAAAATGTATGAGATAATTTGTATTTCTTTGCCTATGAATCACAATTGTATGCCTTACATGGCTTTGGGAGAGCCAGCATGTATCTCCTTAAATATTCTTTGATATGTACTTCTTTCAAGCTATTCTTCATGCAAATAAAATACTGGGTTTATGTAAACTTCTTGGCAGCGTGGTTCTTCAAAATAATCTGTGGATAAGTGGCTGTTTTGTTACAAGCCTAAGTCAGTCAACAATACTTTTCCCTAGGTCTTAAGACTATAAATATTAACACAAAATACTACAAGTATCCTCTTTTTAACTTGGAATAGAGAACTAAGTTTTAATGACTATAATAAATAAAAAACGAAGCCTATTGCCATCAAGTACATTCCAACTCATAAGAAGGGATCCTAAAGGACAGAGTAAAACCCTGTAGGGTTTCCAAGGCTGATAAGATGCCGTAGGATAAGCACCAGACTGCTAACCTCAAGGTCAGCAGTTCAAACCCACCTGATGCTCCTCGGAAACCCTACATAGGGTTGCTGTGAGTTGGAACCGACTTGATGGCATTTAATAACGACGACAGGTCATCTTTATGGAGACTGACCGCCACATGGCTCTCCCACACAACGGCTGGTGGGTTTGAACCGCTGATCTTTTAGTGAGCAGCTGAGCCCTTGAACCATGGCACCATCAAGGCTCCTAACATGGTGGGGATGGTAGTTGTGTGCCACTGAGTCGGTTCTGACTCCCTATAATGGGTTTCTGAAGCTATAAATTTTTATGGGAGCAGAAACCTCATTTTCTCCTGCAAAGCGACTGGTAGATTAGAACTGCTGACCTTGCTGTTAGCAGCCCAGTTTATAATCCACTCTGCTCCTTAATTACTATGGTGTTGTTAAGTGCTGTTGAGTCGGTTCTGACTCATAGTGATGCCATAGAGGGTTTCTGAGGAGTAGCTGGTGAGAGTTTGAACCGCTAACCTTGGGATTCAAACCAACCTTAGGGTCCAGTGCTTATCCTATAGAGCCACACCAGAACTCTAATCACTATCATACTTAAGTTATTACTCCAATTCCTATTATAGTCGACTTAAAAATGTACTGATAATGTAGTATATGAGATCCAGGTGACTAGATAGACCTGGATGATAACAGCTCAGTGTTCACTGGGAGTGGTGATGTGGCCATAGGGTTCTCATCTTTCATGTGAGAGACGGAGGTTTAATTCACAGCCAACCTAAGGAGATCTGACAAGTCCTCTTTTATTTTTCATCCATGTAACTGAAAATGTCAACTTTTCATCCAAAATTGATATGGTAAATTTCTTTGTCCTATTTATAAAGCATATGAAAGATTTGCTTAAAAAAAGGGTAACTACACCAAGAACATTTGTTTCCACTATGAAATGCATACTTCAACAACAGACGCTCATTTCAAAATACGCGACTGTAGGTCTCAGTCTCCAAATGTCTACTTAAGTCCAAAAGCTGAACAAAAGTCCTTAAAATACATTCTCAGGATCTATAGATAATTGAATTCTCTTAGAAGCTTATTTCTAAGTATTTTTTTTTCCCTGCATATTCAAACAAGTGGTCATAGGTCTTTGGCTCAATAAACTATAATATTAAAGTGATCCAAAGAAGAATGACTGCATTTAGAGATGACCACCTGCTTAGGAGGCCTAACGTGGCGCTGTAGGATGGTTTACTAAACACGAGGTTGGCAGTTCAAACCCAACAGCTTCTCCTCGGAAACCCTATCCAGGATTGCTAATGAGTAGGAACCGATTCAATGGCACTTCACAGCAACAATATGTTTAACTACTTAGTTTCAATGTGTAAGAAACAGAGGTATACCGCCCCTCCTCCCGTAGCTCTCACTCTTGTTCCTACACCCTCTTACCAGGAATCAATGTGGTGGTGGGCCCTTAAGCTGTCTCTTGTCTCACAGCAACTCTGTATAGGGTTTCTGTGACTGTAAATCTTTATGGGAGCACAAAGTCTCATTTTTCTCCAGTGGAGCAGCTGGTAGATTCAAACTGCTGACCTTGTGGTTCGCAGTCCAATTCGTAACTCACTACACTATACCAGGAGTTCTGAGGAGTCAATGTACTTGACCTTATTCTATCTTCTCAAGCCTTCTCAAACACCTGTAAAGCCAGTGCTTGACTGAAGTGAGAAATACAATTAGGAGCCTGCTCAGACAATTATGTTAAGCCTCCAAGACAGAAGTTCAAAGTAAATTCCAAATAAACACATTCTCTTTTTATGCCTTTTTCTATTTTCCTAAACGGAAGCCGTTCTTGTCTTCAGCTATTCTATTACACAATACACTCTCTTAATCTTCTGTGTGTCCTTGGGCATCCCTGCGGTCTCAGTGTTGTGATAAGTATTGTTGGAGCCATGTTCAGCCTACACTGCCGTCATCCCTCTAAACTTCAAAGTGATATCCTTCCACTCACTTTCTGCTTTCTGATTCTCAACAACAGCGACAATCACCAAAAATCACAAAGCTTGGGTTTGAATGTGAAACACAAACATAAAAACAAAAGACAACTGTTAGAAAACGGCAACTAAGAAACCCAACAAAAACAGTCCGAATGCTCTAGGTGAGGCTTCCGTGAATGTGTCTTCATGACATCTGCTGAACTTGCTTTAAAAAAAGAACAAGCGTAACAGAAAGCTTTCCTGCTTCCTGTTTTGATATTGTGGACATTTAAAGAGCATGGCTTTAGGGAGTAGAGACCCCCCAGGGAAGCCAAGACTGATTCTAACTGATTCCAGACAAAGAGAAGATACCAGTATTTTCCTGCATTAAAGGCGGTTAGCATCAGGCTGTTAACTTACCTGGATCGAGCTTCAATGTGCGAAGGAGGTTCACCAGAGGAGTGGCTGGGAGAGGCTGGCTGCTTAGGTGAGGAGAGGGGTCCCCTGAGCACCTGACTGGGAGACCTTGGCACTTCAGTCAAAGAGGAGTCTCGTCCAGAGAACAAGAAGGACGGGGAAGAACTCTCGACCACTGGGGACAGGTCATGGGCCTGCCCGGTGGCACTTAACTCTTGAACTCGTCTTTGGTTTTCCACATTCAACAGCACTTCCTTGTCAGAAACACTTTCACTTCCTGGGAAATCATAGTCCTTGGATTCAGCTGTGCAGGATCGGAGTCCCGTGACCTCAGTCCTGGAGTACAGAGAACTCAAATCTTTGCTTGACTCTTCCTGTTTATCACTTTTCCCTCGTTTCTCAACAGCGTCAGGATCCTTCCTGGACTTGGAGTACCGAGATAAATATTCGGAGTCGGCTTCAGAATCCAGAGTCAGTCCGTACTTCTCTGCAAGCTGCCGTCTCCTTTCTGCTTTGTATCTTGCTATTCTTTCAGCTTTGGACTCAACACTCTGGGTGTCCATGATGCCCGAACTATACGATGAGTCACCGGAGTTTTCCGTGCAGTATTTAGTGCGAGTTTGCTTTTCTAAAGAAGTATCGGAAGTTTCTTCTTCTTCATTTGATCGGCCTGTAAGAAGATCACACGGGTAAGAACTATAGACTTAGCAGCATATGTACCACACACTACACTGAACACAAGGAGCCCTGGTGGCACTCTGGGTTAGGCATCAGGCTCCTAACTGCAAGGTCAGCATTTCAAAACCACCAGCTGTTCCTGGGGAGAAAGATGAGGCTATCTGGTCCCATAAAGACTGACAGTCTTGTCAATGACTCGATGACCGTGGGTATGCTGCACATAGTACACACTTGTGATTCCATGCTATGAGGGAGTAAAATGATTTACTGGAACTACCAGAGGTATGATGAAATGTCTGAATGCTGAGAATGTTAACATAGCTCTGAGAACATCAGGTCTGGCTAAACTAAAGCTCAGCCCTTCTTCATTCACGAGAACTCCATCAGCCCTTGTCTCTTTCCCTTTATTTATTTACTTTTTTTTCCCTTTCGGTTTGTTTTTGAGTTTAATATTTCACATGTTAGACCAGAGGGAAAGTTCAGAGTCCTCTAGAAAAGCTAACAGCTATTAAGACTGCTGCAATTTGACAAGTGGCTATTGTTGCATGGGATCTGATAGTAACCATAACAATATAGCCCAAGTCAATATTCAGCAGGCTTTTTACAGAAATGGCTTTCCCCAATTAGAGCAGACAGGCTTGATAGAGAAAACGTCCAACATGAAACGTACAAAGCTAAAAACCCAAAGTGTCAAAAATCACACTACACTCGTATAATTTGCCAAGTATTTGTATGGTCCTTCGAGTCTGTCAGAGAATTTGTTTTTTTGATATTATTTAACATTCTATATAAAAGTTTCCTAAATTTAGAAATGTTTATCATGAAGATATCATTTTTAAGACTTATTGTCTTTCCAACAGGTATTTTATCATGAACTTAACCCTTCCCAGACTGCTGGGTGTTTGAGTTGTTTCCAAGTTTTAATTAGTCTGATTTTCTGATAAATGTCACAACAGACAGACACCAGAGTAGAACTGCTTAATGCAAGGGAAGATCAATTTAAGATACTTGCTAGACTGTCAGATGGATTTCTAAAGTGTCCTTATCAATTTGCACTTGTATCTGCAATATGCTTCCGAAAACACCAAGTATGAATTTAAAAACTATCTGCCTTTGATTATTAGAGAGAAAGAAAAGACACCTTTCCCCCCATTTGTTTATTCACCATTTGTACTATCTTTTCTCCACTCTGGAATGCCTGTTCAAGTTTATTGCCTCATATCCCATGATTCATAGTGTTATGTTTATTGGGTTGTATAAACTCTCTTACAAGAATATTAACCCTTTGTCATCTTCATGAGTATTTTCAAATTTGTCTACTCTTTTGTTGGGAACTCTCTATGTTTACAACGTGCTCTGAATTACAGATTATAAGTGATCAAGTCAACTGATCTGATCATTTGTGATTTCTGATACTGTTCTGTGCTTGAGAAAACTTTTCTATCCTATCGGGAACGAAATATTCAACTATTTAATGTTCATGTTTTTAGTTATTTTCTCAAATCTACAACAACAAATTAGGTGATTACCTGGAACGTATTTTTATCTTTGGTATGAAGGGAGAATACACGTTCCCTTCCCTCATCTCATGGCTAACCAATTTTCCCATTAAACTAAAACACCACCCACTGCCATCAAATCTATTCTAGTTCATAGGGCTTCTATATAGGGTTTCCCACACTGTACATCTTTGTGGGGGCAGACAGCCTCATTTTTCCACAGAGAGGCTGGTGGGTTTGAACCACCTACCTTGTGGCCAGCAGTCCAATGCTTACTCCATTATTGCCACCAGGGCTCCTGAAAATTTCCAGTACCATGTTATTACATAATTCATTCATTTCTCACTAATGTCTGATATCTAAATTATATATTACATACATGAACATTTCATGCACACTATATTTTATTTCTGGGATCTGAATGTTGATGATACTCTATTTTAAATCATTTATATATGTAATTAAAAAACAAACTTCATTATCTAGTTTTCTGGCCATAGAAGATTAGAAACAGTTGAGAAAAGAAAAGTGATAACTTCTTGAACTGATATCAACAACCCTCTTTAAGGAAGAAAACTAGAAAGCAATGATTATAAAATCTGTGAACAGTGTGGGACAGAGGTGGGGGGAACAGCCCTGCTATGTGTCATCCACTAGGGGGCCAAGGTGACAATGATGCCAAGTCATCCAGGGAAAGCAACAGTCACACTAATATGAAAATAAATACGCAGTACATGTAAAATCACATGCATGAAAATAATTTAACTAAAATGTTACATAAATAGTATAGAAATCTATACCATTCAAGGTGCAGGTCAGCCCTAGGCCCTTTGCTGAGAACAGTTTCACCCTGGAGCATTGGGGTGAAGTCTAAAATGAAAATCGCTGTAGTTGTTAAGTGCCCTGGAGTCGGTTTCGACTCAAAGCAATGTTTTATAGGATTTCTGAGGAGTGGTTGGTGGGTTTGAACTGTCGACCTAGCAGTTAGTAGTCCAGTGCTTACCCTACAGCACCACACCAACGAGAATTCCTAAGAACATATTCCATTCATTCTTTTACCAAACAGCCAGTGCCTCTGCTCTTGAGGAAAGTTCAGTCTAGGGAGCAAAGACTGGCCATTTGTTTCCCAACAAAGTGTGAGGGACAGGGAAGAATCATTTCCTACTGGCAGTTCAAACTCACCAACCTCTCCTCCTGAGGCTTTCTGCTCCCACGATGATTCACAGCATCAGAAACCCTATACAAGGAGGCTAAGAGTCTGGAATCAACTCCAGGGCAGTGGGTAAGGGGTAGGGGGGCAGGCATCAGAGGCATGAGACTGGGCGGGGCTGATAAAGGTTTTGTTGTTGCTGTTTTGTTTTTGTTTTTTTAACAAATTATGAACTCTGTCTAGACAATTAAGTTTCATGAGAACTCATTATGCTGCTGAATAAAGCCTTGTAAGTCACACGCTAAGCTGAAAGCCCGATCCATGGGTAGCAGCCAGGTGTGCTCACCGATGTGGGGGCTGGATGGGTCAGTGGCACGCATGTATCTGGGTGTGTCTTCCTCCAGCAGGCGATGGGTCACAAGCCCGGTGCAACTCTGCAAGAGCATGGGCTGGGCTTCATTTTCAATCCCTTCTATGCGTCGGGCGATTCTTTCTTTTCTGTGCAGCACACCAAAAGGGTACAGTGAGTAACCAAAATCCGTTCTCAGGGAACACCAAATACGGTTTTCCCAAACTTTCACTTCCTACTTGTATACCATAAGTATCTTACCTTTTCATTTTTATGAAATCTTGTCTCTTTGGTTCAAAGATTTGTCTTAATTCTGCAACTAAAACAAAAAAGAGAGAGAGAGAGAGAGAGAAGCCCAATATTTAGCAGCCATGCATTCATTTTATTGATTCACGCAACATTTATCTTATTGAACTCTTATTTCTGGTCTTGACTGGCATGTACCAGTGAGACAGAAAATAAGTCACTACGTACCTGGAGACTGGTTTCTAGTTAGGGTACGCATTTGCTAAGAAAGCATGTGCACCTGTGTGCGTGCACACACGCCCCCCTGCGCCCCGCCCCCCCATACACATGGTCACAAGTAGTTGAATCGCTGTGATGAAAAATAACGCAGGATAATAGACCGAGCGGTAAGAACCAAAACTTAAACTTTGCTTCCGACTCATGGTAACCCCATGTTTCTGAGTAGGACTGTACTCTCTCTACATGGTTTTTAATAGCTGACTTTTACAAAGTAGTTTGCCAGACCTTTCTTTCCTCTGGGTGGGCTCAGACTTCAACCGTTGGGTTAAAAATGAAATATGTTCACCATCTTGCATCACTGTCCTGGGACAGAAGGGTTTTTTTTGTTGTTGTTTTTTTAAAGCAGGTCCAATATGAATTCTTACATTTAAAAATATTTAGATTTAGTATTTTAAACTTTTGATTTGGGAGAAGCTTCAAAGTTTACAAAAGTCGGAACTCATGCTGTAAACCCACACATCCCCATAGCAAAGTGCAATGGTGAACTCTCTCAGCCATTCTTAACTTACCCTACCCATGTCAACTGTCATTTCGGATTGTGTCCATAAACACCTAATGTATTGTTGCTGTTGGTAAGTGCCATTGATTCGATCCTGAACTCACAGCTACCCTGCACAGGGTTTCCGGGAAGCAGCTGGTGGGTTTGAACCGCCAATCTTGAGGTTCTTTTTGTTATGTGCTGTTGAGTTGGTTCCCGATCCACAGCAACCCTGTATAGGGTTTCTGAGGAGTGGCTGATGAGCTTGTGATTCAAACCAACTTTGCAGTCCAGCACATTAACCCACAGTGCCACACCAGGACTCTAGTGCTTATCTTATAATGCTACACCAGGGCCTAAAGTTCCCAAGCCTCCCTCTTCAATATTTCACTAGAAGGAAATCTGTTTCCTTATCAACTGGAAGTGGATCACAGATAATGGATTATCCTAATTTTCCTGGCGACATTTAAGGAACAGACAAATGTTTTGTAGAGGTCTGGAGGCTGTCACATGATACAGACAACAAGGCTATTACTGAGATGCCAAATAATTGGAGAAATGGACAAATTTGGCGGCATATCAAGGTCTCTCTTCTTGCCTCCTTCTCTATCCTGTAAATTTCTGAGGGCTCATCTGAGGACCCAGGAGGAGAGAGACAAGGAAAGGGGTCCCCGGCTATCCCTGGGGCTAACAAAAACTGTGAGAAGCTAAGTCAAAGAAGAAACTCAAAGGAAGGGAATGAACACATAGAATTTCAACTGCCTTAATGTTCATTTCACATTTTTTAGAAAACTGGTCATTTTTGGATTGGAGTCAAACTCTTAGCATTCACACACATGGCTTTCCTCGCTCTTTGGGTGTGTTTACAGATACAAGTCTTGTTTTTAAATGATTGTTGATTTGGGTGCTGTCAAGCCAGTGTCAGCTCATAGGATTTCCTAGACTTTAAGTTTTCCAAGGAGTCCTGGTGTGGTGCTGTAGGATCAGCAATGGACTGCGAGCCACAAGGTTGGTGGTTCAAACCCATCAGCTGCTCCTCAGAACACCTATACAGGGTAGTTATGAGTCAGAACCGACTTGGCGGCACTTAACAACAACTATTACTATTGCTACTAACTACTAATCTTTCCAGGCGCAGATTGCCAGGTCTTGTGATAAAGATGTGGCCGTCTGCTTGGTCACGGCGGCAGTCTGGGGAACCCTAGGGGGTAGTTGTCTGTCCTTCAGAATAGACTCAGAGATGGATTTGTTTTGTAAATGTATCAAAAATCTATTCCCATCAAATTGATTCTTACTCAGAGCGACCTACCTGTAGGATGGACTAAAACTGCCTGATAGAGTCCTGTGCTGTGGGTAAGCACCAAACTTCTAAACACAGGGTTGACAGTTCAAACCCACCAGTCGCTCCTTATGTGTTGGCACTGACTGGATGGCAATTAACAACAACAACATCAGGTTTCCAAGGATGGAATCTTTAGAGATGCAGACAGCTACATCTTTTTCCCAGAGTGGTTGGTGGGTTTGAACCTCTAACCTCTGGTTAACAGCTGACCACTCCATCACTGAGTGACCAGGGCTCCTTTTAACACGCTGCTGCTGCTGCTGCGTGTCACTCCTAAGACCCCACACAGAGGGCTTGTGAGGTTATAAATCTTTACTGCAGCAGAAGAGCTCATCATTCTCTCACAAAGCAGCTGGTGGATTCGAACTGCTGACCTAACATTTAGCAGCCCAATGTAGAACCCACTAGGCTACCTTTTAAAAAATTAAATTATTGTGCCTTCAAGTCGGTTCTGACTCAGAGTGACCTTGTATAGTGTTTCCAAGGAGCAGCTGGTAGGTTTGAACTGTGAACCTTGTGGTTAGCAGTTCAGTGCTTATCCTGCAGTGCCACATGATACTCAGGTCAGTTCCAACTCACGGCAAACTCATGTGGGTCCAGAGTAGAAGTGTGCTTCACTGGGTTTTCAACGATTAATTTTCAGAATTTATCACCAGGTCTTTCTTCTGAGACAACTCTGCATGCACCTGAACCTCCAATTTTTTTGGGTTAACCTTTTGCACCTCAGTGTGGCGCTGTGGGTTAATACACCAGACTGCAAAGCCGTTTGAACTGCAAGGTCGGCAGTTCAAGCTCACTAGTTGCTCCTTGGAAACCCTATACAGGATTGCAATGGGTCCGAACCAACTCAACAGCTTTTAACAACAACAACATGGACTCCTTGGTTAAAGTGAGCTACCTTAAAGAAAAAAAATTCTCTCTGATTTGGTCTCTCTTGGATCCAGTGTAGCTGGAGGCAGAGGTGTTCTTAGTCTATAATGTTAATTATGTTCCTACTTAGAATTCACAGTTATAATAATTAACAGTGCACTTTGCCACACTGCCATGAGAGGAAGCTGGGCTTATATTAGTATTTCCAGTTAATCAAGGAGTTCTGGTAGCATAGTGGTTACAAATTGGGCTGCTAACCTTAAGGTCAGCAGTTCAAAACTGTTACCAGCGGTTCCGCGGGAGGAAGATGAGGCGTTCTGCTTCCATAAAGATTTACAGCCTCAGAAACTCTGTGCAGGGTCACAATGACTAGGAATTGACTCCACAGTACTTAACAACAATTAGCTCTAGTGAGATTAGAGTTATAAAACTGTAATGGCTGGCAGAACATATTTTTTAAAATATTTTGAAGAATGACAAAACCAAACAATTTGAATTAACTATTGAAACTCTGAAGAAGAAAATGGGACAGTATTTTTCATAAAAGTGCTCAAACGAACTTTTCAAAAAGGTTTGTCTTAAAGCTGGGTCTCAAATCTGTAACTGAGAATCAGGATAGAGTACATATCGATCCCTGGTGGGGAAATCCAGGGAAAAAGTGGAGATGGGCAGCCTTGGACACCCCCTGGAAAATTCACGGAAAAAATGGAGATGCACAGTCTTAGACACCCCCTGGAGCGGTTCTACTCTATCCTATAGGGTCCCTATGAGGCTTTGGGGTAGCAGCAAAAGGAATAAACTCTCCACTGCTAACCCAAAGCTTGGGGATTTGAATCCATCCAGCATCTCCAAGGCAAAAAGACCCGGCAACCTGGTTCCGGAACAAACTCCAGCCAAGAAAATCCTGTGGGGGTTCTGGGGTCATTCAACCCTGTCACATGGGGAGGCTATGAGTCAAGCAGTAACTTGCCATCACCCAGCAACCAAACTAACGTAAGGTCCTCAGTAGTCTAATGGATGCTTGTGTGATACCTTTCCTCTCCCCAAATTATTTCAACTACAAGTTCTGGTGTGTTGCAGAACAGGATGAACACTGGACTGCATGCAAGCCAAAAGGTCGGCTGTTCAAATCCACCAGCTGATTCTCGGAAACCTTATGTAGGGTCACTATGAGTCGGAACCAACTTGATGGCACTTAATGAGTATAAGGACCCTGGGTAGCGCTGTAGAATAAACACTGGACTGCTAACAACAAGGTCGGTGGTTCAAACCTATCAGTTGCTCTGTGGGAGATAGATGAGGCTTTCTGCTCCCATGAAGATGGACAGCCTTGGAAACCCTATACAGGTTGGCTATGAGTTGGAATCAAATCAATGACCATGAGTTTGGTACAATGACATTAATTCACATAGAGTAACTCCCATTGGTAAACGTTAAGATAAACTATTTTTGTTTTGAGACTACGTACAAAGCTTTCCGTTGATTTCGATTTTTATTTCTTAATTTCTAAATTGTTCTATAAAATTCTACAACCAAGACCATTAATAATAATAAAAGATTCCAGCAATACTGTGAGAAAGCTAAGCAGCAACAAGTTGCTTCCTGTCACATTTCTCATATTCTAGAAAGAACAAGTTGACTCTGTCGTGGAAAACCCCAGTGTGTCACAGTAGAACTGTACTCCACAGGGTCTTCAGGGGTTGGTTTTCACAAGTCGATCAACCAGGTCTTTTTTCTGAGGTGCCTGAGTGGACTCGAACCTCCAACCTTACGGTCATCAAGCATGTTAACCATCTGCACCACTCAGGGAGTCTGTATACTAGAAGGGAGATCAATTAAATGGGAGAAATAGGCAAAGTTCCCACCCACAACAAAACTGACTTTCCTTTTGTCATTATCATCCTGCTTCAATATTCTATAAGGACAATAGGAGAAGAGGTCAGAATCTTAGGTGATCACTGAAACGGAAGCCCAGATGCCTGGAGCAGTTGGGAGGAAGGCCAGGGAACAGGGAGGGCAGGTCAAATTACCCTCCTGCCCATGGTGGTCTCTGCCTTTTTCTGGACAACCCACTTTCTTGACAACACTGAACACTTTCCATCTGGTATCTGCTCACTTCTAGTCCTAAGAATGCACAGGTGTCCCTCCTCAGCATCACAGACTCAGAATGCCGGCTCTGGAACGGATCCGGGTGACCTTTTCTTTATTGGGAGCCCCCTGCTGTACTACATGGTTTTAGGGATCTCTGGCTCTCCTACCAAATACCAACACACTCCCTGGTTGTGATGTAAAACACCCCCAAGCTGTTTCCAAAGCCCCATAGGTATAGTGTTGTTGCTAATTGCCATTGGTTGGTTCGGACTCATACTGACCCTGTATAGGGCTTCCAAGGAGTGGCTGTTGAGTTTGAACAGGGAACCTGTGGTTCCAACTGACCTCAAGGTCCTGTGCTTATCCTATAGGGTCTCCACAGGGACAGTACTCGCCTGGATTGAGAATCACTGGTCCGAGAACAGAGACTGTAAACAGGAAGCCTGTTCCTTGGCCTTCAGTACCAGACATTACAAAACCAATGCTGCATGCTTTTGATCAAGCTAAGGGACACCTGGGGTGTGGCGCTGTGGTTAATGTGCTGGACTGCAAAGTCGGTTAGCTCCACAAGGTTGGCGGTTCAATCTCACCAGCTGATCCTCAGAAAAGCCCCATACAGAATCGCTATGGATTGGAACTGAATGGACGACAATTAATAATCACAACAACAATGGAGTGCTGGTGGGCACTGTAGAATAAGCACTATACTGCTAACCACAAGGTCAGCAGTTCAAAACTACCAGACACTC